AGAACTGCAGTCAGCTGAAGTAGCCTGCATTTAACCTGCGCCACCTCGCCTCTTAGGTTAGCTATCACTGGTATAGAGCTTTGGGTCATTGGGTGCAATAGTGCAATACGCGAGTGACACCCTCTCCCCCCCCCCTGTGCCTCCCACTCCTATACGCATGCTCCGAGTCTCCTTCTTGAGCATGGAGTTGGATTGCCTGGTCTTCCAACTCTATTCTGATTGATGTCATTCTGCTCCGAGTTTTCCCGTAGAGCGTTTCTCCCAAAGTGTGAAGAATTGTGCCTCTGCACACAAGTCTCCCCCTTCAGCTGCTGAGTTCTTGGCAGTCGTTGTGTTGGAGGGTCTCACAGTTTGTGAATATGTGTATATGTTTCAGGAGGGAGGAGAAGACCAAGATGGGATAGATTCCAGCAAAGCTCCCACATGCAACGTAGAAGCTTTTGGCTGCTGTTCCCAGATTCTTGACAAGCCCACACAAATTAAACCGCGCTGTGGTCTTTCCCTTTTTCCCGTCTGCAAGTCATTAGCTGGAGGTGGAACCTGGGGGAGGATAGGCAGGGCTTCTCCGTCCCTGGTAGGTCTTCTGGCTGTGAGCTGTAGCACAGATAAATCTCAGATGCCTCTGGCAAAATATCCGTCCAGCTCCTTTGTCCATTGTAAATATTTTGCTTTGGGTAAGTTCTTGCTTTATTAAAAGCTTGAAGTCACTCATCCGTTGACCTGCTATGCTGGTTGCTCCATTGGAAAAGTTAGCAGAAATAGAATTTTTTTGTTACAAAAAATATGGATCCGATATGGAAAAGCTGTTACAAGTGTAATTTTGTGTTTTGTCTTTTCAATGTTGGAAATTTTAATAAATACTATTTTTAAATAAAGGAAAAGTTAGCAGGGAATGAAAAAGAACCATCGCTGGCTGGGAACAATGGATGGTTCACAGCCAACCAGGGTAGAAAACCTGGCTTAGGAGAATATGGATCGTCCTTGACTTACAACCACAATTGGGACCAGAATGTCCATCACTAAGTGATTTTGGTCATTAAGTGAGTCACCCCTGAAGTTATAAATTTCATCATCATCATCTCCTATTTATGACCCCATAATCCCTTGTGGGGTGGAGTCTTGGGCAACTGAATGGAGCTTAGTGTTTACTGGCCGGATGCCCTTCCCTGTCTCCAATGTGGAGTTATATCCAGCAGATACATTCTCATTGCGCCCAGAGAGAGAAATATCTGCCTCTACCTACGATCTGCCTCTACCTAGGATCGAACTTTCAGGCTCCTGAACTGTGAGTTGGGAGCTCCACCTCTAGGCCACCGCACCAGGGGTGGGTTGCTCCTGGCATTACTGCCGGTTCGGTGCGCACAAAAATTTTATAATGCGGTGCGCTCATCCTCTATAATTTCTACTCCTTTTATCTATCCATTGATAAAGCACATCCTGTGTTGAAAAAAACAGTCTTGTTTCTTCCTTATCTTTTTTTATTAATCTCAATCTATCCATCTCTGCCCAGTCTACTATTTTTCTAATTATACTTTCATAGGTAGGTGTAGCCTCCTTTTTTCCAATATTGTGCGAATACAATTCTCGCTGCTGTCAGCCCATGTATTATTAAGCATATAGTCCCTTTGTTATGATTTTCTGGTAGTGTACGTAACGAAAATTATTTCTGGCTTTAAGTCTTACGTGTCTTCCGTCTTCTTTTTTCCCGGGGAACCACTTTGCTTCAGTCGGTGGAGAATTGTGTCTGCATCATGAGGAATCTCTCCTACCACGTCCACAAAGAAATTCCAGGCGCCGACAAGTTCCGGGAATTAGAAAATAACCAGCTGGGAAGTTTTGGAGGAACTCATAAGAAAAAGAAAGACGACGCGGGCTGCTTCGGTGGGAAAAAAGCCAAAGGTATGGGTTGTCCTAATACCTTGGGCGTGACGAAGAAGGTTACACCCATTCTGCAATCCGATTGCAATGCTGGTTGAGCCTTAACCAGCCTTTCCCCCCTCCCCAATATGGTGGCCTCCAGTTGCCTTGGACCTCCAAGTCCCAGAATTCCAAGCGAGCTAGCCTGATGCGGGATGCCCTGTGTTGCATTTCATTAGCCCTCCAGATGCTTCGATTGGGTACATCGCACTCAATCTGTGATCTCCTTGCAACACTGGTTGATCCTAAACCAGCTTCCCCCCCTCCCCAATATGGTGGCCTCCAGTTGCCTTGGGCCTCCAAGTCCCAGAATTCCAAGCCTGATCAGGGATGCCGTGTGTTGCATTTCGCTAGTGTCTTAGAAGCCACCATTTTCCTGTTCCCAACAGGCACCGCAAGCCATGAGCAGTGAGATTTTAATGACTGATCTCACAGAACCTCTGTAGCTCAGGGCTGAACGGTGGTGCTCTCTGAGCGCGATGGTTCGCTTGCAGACGTTTCATGAGCCGGTTAAGTAAGGGATGAGCAGAAGTAATCCAATCTTCAGGCATTTTCCTGCACCTGCTTTGCGACATGTGTCCCATGGGACAATACAGGATGGGAGATGCGTCTGTACGCCGAGTCAGGGTCCTTTCCTGGAATGTCATTTTAAGTTAATCTGCGCTGAACCAGGCCAGCGCGTGGCTTATCCCGAACGTGTAATACGATGCAGGTTGTGCGGTATCGGATCCCAGCGAATGTGTGGTCTTTGATAACCTCACACCTTTCTGGACAGCTGCTCGGCTCTTCGGACCGGGAAGTCTTTAGCAATGATCTCGGTTGACGTGCAAATGCAGATACCTGATTGCCCATTGTTCGTCAAGAGAGAATGTGAGGGTATTCAGATTAGGAGAGGAGAGGATAGAGGACAGGACAGGGAAGGGAAGGGCAGGAAGGGCAGGATAAGATATAGGATAGGATAAGGACAGGATAAGATGTAGGACAGGACAAGATAACATATAGGACAGGACAGGTTAAGATACAGGACAGGACAGGATAAGATATAGGACAGGACAGGATAAGATAAGATACAGGACAGGACAGGATAAGATATAGGACAGGACAGGATAAGATATAGGACAGGATAAGATATAGGACAGGACAGGATAAGATACAGGACAGGATAAGATACAGGACAGGATAACATATAGGACAGGATAAGATACAGGACAGGACAGGATAACATATAGGACAGGACAGGTTAAGGGACAGGACAGGATAGAATGACCTATGTTAGTGCTGGTTGACTCCATAAATTTGTTTAATAAATGAATAAAAATAAAGAGAGTAGAATAGAATTAGAGCAGAGCAGAATAGAGAAACAGAAGTTAGAAGTACTATCACTGATGACGTTACCTAGTTTGGTCATTGAAACATCTGCAAGAAAACCACCAAGCTCACAGAAGGATCTCCTCCCCAATCCCATTTGTGTCAGAGATAACTCTTTTGTTCCCTCCCAAGAGAAGACACACACTTTGGGATGTTCAGACCAAGCAAACTCCAGAAGGAGAGCTGGAGAGCCTGAGCATCTTTCTGGGAAGGGGGGGGGAGCTGTGGTGCCCTTCCCATCTCAAAAACGTCAGAGATTTCGCTTGTCTCCGCTCCCAGGTTTAAACCTCGCTTTGCAAAAGTTCTTGTCTGATTTTTCCTTTTGGTTTAGTCCTTCCTTTTGAAAACGTTTTGTTTGTTTTCATTTTCACCCCCTTGGGCTGCTTTTCTGGTTATTAGAGGAATGGTTCAACCAAGGTGAGTTTCTTCTTCCTTCTCTTGTCTTCCTGTCCACATTTCTGTTCTTTTCTCTCTCTTTTTTTTTTCTTCCTCCACTGGGCCAGATTTCTCTCTTCTTCCTCCCTTCAACATAAGGATGAAAGCTGGGAGAAATAAAGGTTGGGTCTCTTGCTTTGCTTTCCCCTGGGTGCATGTCTCATTCTTCATTTTATTCTTATTTTTCATATCCTGCTTGTTTTCTCCATGGCTAGGAAATGCAAGAGGCTGGGATGAATTTGGGTTGATTTTCAGGGGAAGAAAGAGAGAGTTTCAGAAGAGATGGACCCAGCCAAAAATGTGACAAGATGTTTCCTCCTCCGCCCCGCCCTCCTCCTCCTCTTTCTTCAATATGAGAAGAATTCTCCTTTTCCATTTCTGTTCTCTATTATAAAACTTTCTTCTTCTTCTTCTTCTTCTTCTTCTTCTTCTTTCTTCTTCTTCTTCTTCTTCTTCTTCTTCTTCTNACCCTCAGGTGTCAACTCGCAAAGCACTTCCATGCTTGTTATCGAGTTGCCATGGACAGAAGGTGGGGAGAGCAAATTCCACACATACCTTTGGCTATTATCAAAGCAGGCTTGTGAGGCGTGGAATTTTACACCCTGCCTGGAGCACCTCATTAGATAATGTGATTTATGACACAGACTGAGGGGAGGGGGGAAATCAGCTGTAATTTATGTGAGGTCAGATCTGTCTCTGTTTGGGTAATTGCCGAAATGTTGCTCCTAATAAATGACTGGATTTCTTTTGAAACTTGGCTCGAGGCTCATACATTAATTTGGAGATACTTTGGAAATCTGACAGAGAGTCAGATCTCCTTTTAAAATCTATCAAGATTACTGGTTTTTCTGAATCCCAGACTCTCCAATCGCTCCCTGATATCTGGGGTGCCTGAAGAGAAACTCAGGCAACCATTTTTCCCTGGATCTCGTGCAGGCCTTGGTTAGCAGCAGAGGTGGGTTCCTACCACTTCACACCTATTTGGTAGAACCGGTTCGTCAAATCTACCAAACAGGTTAGAAGAGGTTCCACCAGTGGACCCAGAAAGCAGGCCACACCTACAGAAGAGGTTCCAAACTTTTTTGAAACCCACCACTGGTTAGCAGAGAACAGAGGCCTAAAACACTGTAGTGAGATCAATAGTGCTAGATTTCCCACTCCTGATCTTGAGTGTCTCTCACTATTTTAGGCCACTTTTTTCTGCAAATGCACCGAAGTAGGCAAAGGAACCGATGGCTCGCCACATCCTTGCAAGGTACCACATTTTTTGGAACATAAGACACACCCAGAGAAGGAAAACAAGGGAAAAAATAGTTTTTTGCCTCCATGCATTCTGTTTTTGCCAACCCTGGCATCCAGAAGCACTCTGTATGCCAAAAACGGTCTCATTTTTGGCCTCCCAAACCCTCTGCACGTTTTCAGCCTCCCCAATGTCAAGGAGGATGCTCTGAGTCACATTGCATGAGGCCTTCGCTCTTGAATTGGATTTGGAAAATGCTCTTCCATGGGCTGAGTGTGAAAGTTCTGTTCTCACACAATTTTGGAGGTTCCAGAGGACAAATGACAACACACTCCTCACACATGACCTCCAGAGGACACACAAAAGCACACCTTGTTCTTCTCAGCCTCCACAGATAGTTTCAAATAGAAATGGAACAATACAGATAAGAAATGGCACAGAAAGCATTTAAGCAAAGAGACATTGACTCTTTCCTTCCTTGGAACATGAGATAGCCAGATCCTTCCCTTCTCCCTCCCAGGAGACAATATTTGATTAGTGGTTTTTTAATAAAAAAAAACCTAACTATAATCTGTCTTCTTGAACTGTCTGACTGGGGACTAGAAAACTCTTACCCAGAGAGACCACATTCCTATGGTTTTCAAGCATGACTTCCGAATGCAGCTCTTTC